CCTGCTGTGTTCATCCAGCTCTACACCTTGTTATCTCAGATTCTCCAGCATCTGCAGTTCCTACTGTCTCTTTCATCACCTAGTCTGCCTGCAACTCCACTTTCAAGGAACCATGCACCCGCACCCACAGGTCCCTTTGTTCAGATTCTCCAGGGCCCTACAATTTACTTTTAATAGCCTACTCCTATTATCTATGTTTCTATTTATCTTGTTGCTGTCTGTGGAAGCTTGCTGTGCACAAATTGGCTGCTGTTTTCTTTCACTACAACGGTGACTACACTTTTAAAAAGGACTTCACTGGCTGCAATGTGTTTTGGAATATCTCCCACCTCCCAAGTGGCTTTCTTTCTCAGAGAAGTCCTGCCCTGGTTTGCCTTAGCAAAATACAACACCTCACATTTATCTAAATTAAATTCCATCTGCCACTCCTGTGGTCCATCTGATCAATTTCTAACAGGAGTAGACAGGGTAAATGCAGGAAAGATGTTTCCCATGACCAGGGGGTCACAGTCTGAGGATATGGGTTGGCCCTTTAGGACTGAGATAAGGAAAAACTGTCTTCACCCAGAGAGAGGTGAGCCTGTGGAATTCTCTGCCACTGAAAGCCATTAAGGCCAAAACGTTGAACGTTCTCAAGGAGCAGTTAGACATAGTTCTTGGGGCTAAAGGGATCAAAAGGTATGAGGAGAAAGTGGGAACAGGGGACAGAGTTGAATGAAAAGCCATGATTATAGAATATAGAACAGTACAGCACAGTACAGGCCCTTTGGCCCATGATGTTGTGCCGACATATTATCCTACTAAGATCAAACTACCCTGCATACCCTACATTTTACTATCCTCCATGTGCCTATCCAAGAGTCGCTTAAAAGTCTCTAAAGTATCTGACTCCACTACCACTGCTGGCAGCGCATTCCACACACCCACCACTCTCTGTGTGAAGAGCCTACCTCTGACATCTTCCCTATACCTTCCTCCAATCACCTTAAAATTATGCCCCCTCGTAATAGTCATTTCAGCCCTGGGAAAAATTCTCTGACTATCCACTCTATCTATGCCTCTCATCATCTTGTACACCTCTATCATGTCACCTTTCATCCTTCTTCACTCCAATGAGAAAAGCCCTAGTTCCCTCAACCTTTCCTCATAAGGCCTGCCCTCCAGTCCAGGCAGCATCCTGGTAAATTTCCTCTGCACCCTCTCTAAAGCTTCCACATCTTTCCTATAATGAGGTGACCAGAATTGAACACAATATTCCAAGTGTGGTCTAACCAGAGTTTTATAGAGCTGCAGCAATGTTGAATGGTGAGGTAGGCTTGAAGGGATTAATAGCCTACTCCTATTATCTATGTTTCTATTTATCTTGTTGCTGTCTGTGGAAGCTTGCTGTGCACAAATTGGCTGCTGTTTTCTTTCACTACAACGGTGACTACACTTTTAAAAAGGACTTCACTGGCTGCAATGTGTTTTGGAATATCTCCCACCTCCCAAGTGGCTTTCTTTCTCAGATCTGAAATCCTTCCTGTCTCAGTGCTAGAACTGGGTACATTTGTTGCTCCTGTTTGTACAATGCTTTCAAGTCACTGCAGATTGACTGTGTCTGGATTTTTGTCTGCAGCCAATAAGATTCCACCCTCCGCTGTGCTGGTCTTTGATGTTCACATCATCGATTTCCACAATCCAAAGGATAAAGTGCAAATCCAACCTTACTTCAAGCCAGATGCCTGTAACAGGACATCACAGATCAATGACTATGTGACTTATCACTACAATGCTTCTCTCATGGATGGTACCCAACTCTACACCTCGTACGTTATTCAGTTTTTTTTTTACCAAAGTAGGTCTCATTGTCCATCATGCTATTGAGATTGGGATGAACATTCCAATCCAGGGGACAACTTGTGCTAATCTAAGGTAGAACACTAGAAGAGTACAGATGATGCATATTCCTGCCATAGTCTTTGGAAATTGGATGCTCACTAGAATCCTTGACCATAGTGGGAGCCTGAAGGTCCTGGATTCAAGCCCCAGGCACCGAATATAGGCTGCCAGCCCAGTGCAGTAGGGATTGCTGCACTGCCAGAAGTGTTCTTTTGGATGGGATGTTATACTGAGGCCTCATTTGTCTCACACAATGCCAATCTCACATTTGAGAGAGCACAGAAACTATTTGGAAGAGTAGAGGAGGTCTCCTTGGTGGCCTGCTCAGTATCTATCCCTTCAAAATCATCAAAAATAGACTGACTGAAACTGCTATCTTATTGGATCTTGTATATGAGTTATTTGCCACATTTCTTTTTACAAAACGATATTGGCTACACCTAAAAAGAATTTCATTTATTGCAACGTCTTGAAGGCACTTGAAGGTGCTAAAGAAACATATAAATGTATAAATATAAATGTTTCTTTCCTCTTCCCAACTGAAGGGAAAAGTATCCGATGACTTTCCAAATTATTTAGTGCAAACCATAATGCACTGGCTCTGGAATGATCCCTCTGTGCTGTAACAGTGCCAGGCACCAGAATTTAGGCTTCACATTCACTGGGTTTGGGATGATAACAATGGGACAGGGCGCACATCCATTTTCTATTTACTGTGGGATGTGGGCATTGCCGGTTGGTCCGGCATTTATTTCCCGTCCATAGTTGCCCTTGAGAAGGTGGTGGTGAGCTGCTTTCTTGACCCTTAGGGAGGGAATTCCAGGATTTTGACCCAGCAACATTGAAGGAACAGTGATATATTTCCAAGTCAGGATGGTGAATGGCTTCATGTCACATACAATCTATAGGAAAGTATGAGGTTGTGTATTTTGGATGGGAATGGGATTAAACTTTGACTGGAATGGGACCCAGGGTAGAGGTCAAACCACCTGTGGCTCCTCACTGTCTGCCAATGCTCACAGTCACTGCCAGGGTAAGGGGTGTATTCTAGTAAGCCTGTGTGGTTTCCTTAGTAAATATCAGGGTTAACAAAAGAAGAGGAAAATACTGATAAGATTGTATTTGAATATTATGGTCCAGTGCCCCTGGATGGGGCCATTACTGCACAATAGGGGGTGGGCAGGGCCAGGGTTGATTATCTACATTCCATAGCTCCTGGTAGTTTCTCATAAACAAGTAATCGCTAAGGTTTTGACTGAGTGCAACAATTTCTCTTTCTGTTTGTTTTGTTGTCGTCCTTTAGCCGTGAGCTTGACACTCCTCCAACTTTAATCCTGGGCTCCTCGAAAACAATTGAAGGGTTGAGTCAAGGCTTGCTTGACATGTGTATCGGAGAGAAACGGATTTTGACAGTACCGCCGCATCTTGGTCATGGAGAGAAGGGAGGTAAGGAAGTTTCTTCAATATTGTGAGGCTTGCTTAAACCCTATATTAAAAAAATACGAAAGAACTGCAGATGCTGTAAATCAGGAACAAAGACAGAAGTTGCTGGAAAAGCTCAGCAGGTCTGGCAGCATCTGTGAAGAAAATATCAGAGATAATGTTTCAAGTCCAATGACTCTTTCTCAGAACTTGTTTTTGCTTAAACTCTAAACCTGACTTGTTCCCATATTTAATCTAGTCGGGGTAGTAATGTGTCATTGCTGTGGGATTGTATAAGCAGCATTGTGGGTTTAGACCAGCCAATTCGATTTGAATACATTTTTCCTATCTGAACACCACCTCTTGATGTTGGATTGACAACAAATGATCGATATCCTTTGGGGAAAGAAACCAACTTGGCTGCTCTGACACCTGGCACCTTGCCCGTCCAGCACAGAGGGCTCCAATGAGCTTACATTTGTATCTAACCTTCTGCCATATGCTCATCGCACCCAGCTTGGGGCACCTAGGGATGAGCAATAAATACCCATCGAGCCTGTGATACCCACATCTTGTGAGTGAATATTGTTCCTCATATTCTTCCTCACCATAATTCCCCTGCTCAATGTTTTAATTGTCCAGCCCTTACTTTTTTCTGCTGTTTGCTGTGACTACTTTAAATGCATTCACAGGAACTGGCCATCACTGGCTGGACCAACATTTATTGCCCATCCCCAGAGGGCAGTTGAGACTCAACCACATTGCTGTGGGTCTGGAGTCACATGTAGGCCAGAACGGGTGAGAACAGCAGTTTCCTTCCCTAAAGGACATTAGTGAACCAGATGGGTTTTACCCTGACAATGGATTCGTGGTCATCATTAGACTCTTAATTCCAGATTTTTATTGAATTCAAATTCCACCGTCTGCTGCGACAGGATTTGAACCCGGGACCCCAAAACAATACTTGGGTCTCTGGATTAATAGGCCAGTGATAGTACCATAGGCCATCGCCTCCCCACACTGCATTGGTCAAAGCATTAAGTCCAACTTGCTAGTTTCCCTTGAACCCCTGTCACACGTGACTTCAAATGACACAACGCTTGGCCATGTTGAGAATTCCCTTCAGCCTCTCTACCCACTCAACATAAAGAAGAACAGAAAGAGGCTAAGCAGCCCCAAGCTGGGTGCGATGAGCATATGGCAGAAGGTTAGATACAAACGTATGCTCATTGGAGCCCTCTGTGCTGGACGGGCAAGGTGCCAGGTGTCAGAGCAGCCAAGTTGGTTTCTTTCCCCAAAGGATATCGATCATTTTGCCATTTGGTTAGAACCTTGCTGATCTCCACCTTAACTCCATTAACTCATTTTCATTCCATACTCCGTAATAGCCTTACCCAACAAAATCGTCCAATCCAGCTCTTTTTGTCTTAACTCCCCTCACCCCCAACCAGTGTCCTGGTTTCTTTGAATATATGATTTAAACCAATGTACCTCACTATCTGGGTTCTTAGTTTGTGATATCTGTCCATTCCAGTGTCTGTCCTGGTACTGATATTAAAGTGATTTCTAAAGACTGTGTTTCTTCCCTCCCACACCCCACACCGCCTCCAGCTGGAGATGTACCAGGCAGTGCAGTGCTGATGTTTGATGTTGAACTGCTCGACATGAAGCCAGGGGTCCCAGAGGGTTATCTGTTTGTTTGGACTGATAAACCTCCAGCCAAACTCCACGAGGAGCTTGATAGCAACCAGGACGGAGAGATCTTACTTGAAGAGGTAACGTGCAGATAGTCTCTCTCCAGCAGCTCATTCCCCAGTAGTGGGATTTTTTGTTTTTTATATACGTTCATGGGATGTGGGTGTCTCTGGCTAGATCAGCATTTATTGCCCATCCCTAATTGCCCCAGAGGTCAATTAAGTGCAACCACATTGCTTTGGGTCTGGAGTCACATGTAGGCCAGACGAGGTAAGGACACCACTCATGTCACGTGAGTGAACCAGGTGAGATTTTCCTGACTCTTAATTCCAGATATTTTATTGAATTCCAACATCACCATCTGTCATGGTGGGATTCGAAGTTACCTCCTCAGAACATTACTTGGATCTTTGAATTGATAGTCTAGTGATAATACCACTAGGCCATCACCACTTGTCCAGATCAAAACTGTCTATATAAAATGTGACTCAGCACATCTAGCCCAGTCCTTGCACAGTGCAGTCAGATACTCATAAGCATTGCAAGATGAAAGAAATCAGAGATGTTTGAAACTAGAATTGAAATTCTTCCTGTATGGCACAGGAGGAGAGTTCAGAGATAGAGAGGGTTGACTTATAGACCAGGATAAGGATTTTAAAACTGATGCATCACTGGAATGGGAGTCAATGAAACTCAACAAGGCCATGGTGATGTCTGACTACTTTATGTATTAATTAATGCAATTAACTGACTGCTCTGTAAACCTGTTAAAAAAAAATCTAGATTCCCTCAGGTTTACATGCCTTCTCCAGTGGATTAGACTGCTAACCTTCACCTGATCTGACCAGTTCAATATTCTAAAGAACCTAGACTAGGTCAGTCTCCAATCTCCAGTCAAAATGGGGTCAGTCACCTTGAGTGTAGTTTCAGCTGAGAAGGGAGAAAGAATTTCAGATCAAATGCACTTTGTGCAAGTTTTAAAACAAAATGTAAAGTAAAAGAATTGAAACTGGACTGAGTCCTTTGAGACTGGCCAAAAGTGACCTGGAGCATGTTAGAATAATCTGCTGTGGTAATCCATAATCTGATTTAATTTACTTTAAGATTTCTTTCTCTTCTCTGTAAATACATTGGAGATGTTTCAGAGAAAGTTTGCTAAATTGATCCCTGGAATGAGCAGGTTGTTTTATGAGGAAAGTACAGACAGACTGGGCTTGTTTCCACTGAAGTTTAGAACAGTGAGGGGAAACTTGATTGAAGTATACAAGATCCTGAATGGTCTTGATAAAGTGATTGAGGAAAAGACGTTTCCTCTTGTGGGTCAGTCCTGAACTGGGTTGGGGAGTTCTGTATTAAAATTAGGGCTCGCCCTTTTAGGGCAAAGAGAAGGAAAAATGATGGCTCTGTGACTTTGGGACTGGGTTATCTGAAAAGGAAGAATGTACAGGGTTCCAGGAGAAGGCTGGGGGGTGGGGATAGTGAGGTGCTCCATCAGCAAGCCAGCACAGTGACGATGGGCCAAATGGTTACAGCCCAGAAGCCATTCTGCTCAGTTTGTGAGAAAACCCTGACCTGGGATACTGTTGGGTTTTAACTCAAACTTATGCTTTTTTGTCGACAGTTTACTCGTTATATCATGGCACAGGTTGATCAAGGCACAGGTCGTCTCTCACCAATCGACGATCCTGACAAACTAATCAATGACATGTTTAAAAATCAAGACCGCAACCAGGATGGGAAGATCACTCCAGATGAGCTCAAACTGAAGACTGATGAGGACAATGAACAGATTGTGAAAGATGAGCTCTGAATATCTTACATATTAAAAAAATTTCCAAAATTTCCCAAAGCAAGCACCCTGTAAATATAACATTGGAAGAAAAGGTTTTCAATTCTCTATTCTGTTTACTAGTTTAGTTTAATGGCCCCATTTGCATTTTTTTCCTTGTCGCTCCTTTCTGTTGCTTGTTTTGACTTTCTCCTTGTGAGGTTGTCCCCTCCGCATAGTTGCTCAGGATCAATGATGCTAGGATTGATTGTCCTGCTTTCTAGGTGAGGTCTGGGGACACTAATCAATGATTACACCTGCATTAATAACACTGCGTTGTGTGGGTGTGCACCTGTGTGTCAAGTACTTAGAAATAAGTTCAAGGGGAAAATTGCCAAAAACTGACCCTGCAGCTCTCTGTAAATCTCAAATTCTCAATGGAAAGGTCCAACAAACATCCACAACAAACTGTAGAAAGAGTTCTTAATACTGTGTTTGGAAACAGTGATTTTGAGAAAGTTACTCTTTCCAATCCCCCCATCCCATCAGCTGTGACTCCCTAAAGTTTTCACAGCGGTAATCACAAAACTGCTCAAATTCAGGGAATGAGCCACACATGGGGGTGCCTTTAATGCTTTGGGAGAACTGTCTCTCTATTCAGGACACACAGGGTCTTGGTTGAGGGCTCTTGTTCCCTCAATCCTGTCCTGACTGAGTTCAGTGCCTTTCACTGGCTGTGTCTGTTGTATGGAGATAGTTGCTTGAGGCTACGCCTGGACTTATACCCGTTCTTGACTTCAGTTGTTATTAAGTTCCAGGTCTCCTGTTCAGGATATTTCTCATCCTTTTTTTAAATATGCATTGAGTGGATTTTGTGAAGAGTGTTTGTGGAGTGAAGCTGTGGTCCCTGATCTCCAATGGATGCCTTGATATTTGATGCTGTAAGGAAGTGGAGAATTTCCACACCATTTGGAAAAGGATAACTAAATGGATTTCTTGTATAAAATCTTATAAACTTTTGTCATCATTTTGTTTGATTTAGATACTATATTCTCATGGTTAGGGCCATTATTGGCAATTATTGTTGAAAATGTGCTGGCAGGGGGTTTGACATGACGACTTCAGAGGGTAATTAGTAATCAAGCAGTTTGTTGTGGAACTGAAGTTACTTACAGGCACCGAGCAGGTAAAAAAGGCACACTACCTCTCCTCTTTACTAATGAGCTCATGTCAGGACCACTAGTTCAGTAACAACCCTATCCTCCTTATAATTGGCAAATGTGTGATTGTAATCAAAAGTGACGGTCTAGGGATCTGCCAACAACCCCGTAACTGAGAAAGAGTAATTTTTTTCAGAGGTTAGTTTATCAGAAGGGATTAAAATGGCAGAGACCAAAATAATTCTTTACAGATTATCAGGGAAATTGGCATTCACTAAATCTGTACATTTTTTTCTCCAATTACCAAATATGACTGACCCCTCACTAAGAAATAACCACAAATACTGTTTTTTAAAATGGAATTTTTATTTAAAATCTGAATTGGTAAATGTTTGACTGTGACAGAAGTGTAGGGGAGGTAGCAAGTTAAGATTTCTTCAATCATGCAAGTGAATGTTTTAAGAACACAATTTATCTACGAAGGAACAGAATACTAAATAAAATAGACTCTCTTTAGGTTAATTATTTTTATTCATTCATTTGATGTGGGTGACACTAGCTAGACCAGCATTTATTATCCATCCCTAATTTCCCAGACAGCAGTTGAGTCAACCACATTGCTGCGGGTCTGAAGTCACACGTAGGTCAGACAAGGCAAGGATGGCAGTTTCCTTTCCTAAAGGGCATTAGTGAACCAGATGGGTTTTTACAACAATCGGCAATAGATCATCATCAAACTCTTCATTCTAGATTTTTTTAAAAATTGATTTCAAATTCCACCATCTGCTGTGGCAGGATTCCAACCCAGGTTCCCAGGACATTACCTGGGTCTCTGGATTAACAGTATAATGATAATACCACTGGGCCATTGCCTCCTCTTGACCTTTTGACATAAAGGGCTGCAGTGTCCCCACATAATTTTTAAAATATTATGAACAGAGTGGGTCCAGTTGTACAGTCCCTGCTTCCTCTGTGCGTCACAGACCACATTAAACAAACTCGCAGCCAGCCTTGAAACCTGGCCCAGAGTTGGGGCATAGAGATGATTCTGACAATTGCAGACTAACTGTCCTATCAGCAATCTAACAAATGTTTGGGATTGAGAATGTATTTCAAGATTCCATTCGCTACATCCAATGTTTCATCATTCACGAGAACAATGTCATACGAGGCCAGGTATTTGTTCAGGAGCTGATCGACCTGCAGGAGAAAGACAGGATACTGAGGTGGGAAGACTGCATGGGAATGGAGAAAGTTTTGATTAGAATCTACAACAAACCAGATAAACACACTACCCAATGCTCCTGAGCCATGCAGATTAGAAATATTCAGTTCCAAGCTGAATTAAGGGATTTCAGCCACAGCAGAACTAGCAACCTGTTAACCTGGAATATACTGACACTTGGGCTTCAGGTGATAAAGCAGCCTGTGTTCTAGATGTGAGTGCACATTTCATTCTGAGTGAGAACAAGATTGGACATTACATGTGTTGCCTTCCTTAGTTAAATATATACTGTCATGAGGAATGCTTCTTGGGCAAGACCCTGCACCCATGGGTATAACTCTATCTCAGAATAGTTTAGAAAAACAGACTTTGGATTGACTGAGGTTTTTCAGACACGTAAAACAGCCTAGAAGTTAGAAACTTTTTCCGCTGGCTGGAAAGATTAGAAAGGAGGCAGCCATAACATGAATCAGTCAGGCCATTCAAGAGAAAATGAGAAAACATTGCAAAGAGTAACTGTGTGGAACTCACTGCCACATAAAGGAAACAGTGTTAGCTCAATGAATAATTTAAAATCTGAGAATGATAGAGTGCTGCTTGCTGATATGGATATTACGCAGAGTTTGATTAACATGACACTAAATGCTACAGAAGACTTGAATGAACTTCTCCAGTTCTTAACCTGGTGCCTGTGTTAATCACTTGTGATTCTGGAATGTCTTTTGATTGAATGCTCAAGAAGGTGCATTGGGCTGCTGCAGATCTCCCCTCACCTTGTCATTCAGGAATCCAATTTTCAGGATGTTCTCCTGTTTCTGGACTCCGTCGGCCATGTTGAGATCCCCCAGCGAGTCTCCCAGGAGAATGATGTTGCTGTAGCTTTCCAGCTGTTCAAAGTGTTTGGAGTTGTGCAGGGCCCCCTCGCGCTTGTTGTAAACATGGATTATTTCACCTTTAAATCCTTTCAGAACCCCCTGAGGGGAAAAAACATGCACAGCAAGCTTTTAACATGAAGCATCACTGGCCCTGAATTTAAAGTTGCCCTAGTCACCAACACTTGCATTAATATAGCACCTTTCACAACTCCCATATCCTTAAGTGTTTCACAGCATTATTTGCAGTATTTTTGAGTGCACCACCTAATGAAAGAAACATGGCAGCCAATATGCACACAGCAATGGCATTTTATGGCATTTTACATTCTGACACATGGACGCAAACTGCTTCCCAGTCTATGTTGAGTGATTTTATTTAAATACAAAAAACAATAGACAAATCCAAACTTATGGAACTAACCACACTATAAAGGAGAATGATAAAACCAGTGAGCACACTGTGTTTAAACTGTGATGTTCACTATTAGCCTTTATAATAGGTTTTACCTGGAAGGAATTCAAATTGCCTTCACCTCCAGTGACAGTCATTGTACAATCTTTCCCACAATCATTAATTTTTCTTCTCCTTTCAGAGTGACAGTAGATCCTGACCATACCCTAATCTGACTGCAGGCAATTACAGAACTCAGCAACCCCATTACCTAAGCTTTATGTTAACCCTCCCCAGTAACAACTCTGAAAGCAGAGGCTTGAATACTTCATCCCCATCATGCCCAGCCCCATAACCCCGATACAAGCCTCAGTCATTCACTCACATTCTCATCAAAGTCCATGAAGTTTGACACCACTGTGATGTTTTGGTGATAGACATCAAACTGCTGAATGATTTCCTCCAGAACATCACCTATGCCAGCCGAAAATATCAAGACAGGAACGTTGTGTTTGTGAAGTTCATCAAAGAAAACCCTGAATCCATCCCTGAGAGAGGAAAATGCACATTGGACAGGTGAATGATTGCTGAACAGAGAGCTGGGTTCACTCAGGATTAGACAGCTGAAAGAAATGGTGGGAGAAAGAAAACTAACTTGTATTTAAATAGCACCTTTCACAGCTTTTGGATATCATTCATCACCAATGAAGTACTTTTTGAAGTGAGTCACTGTTGTAATGTGGGGAGCAGAATTTATGCACAGCAAGCTTCCACAAACAATAATGTGATAATGATGAGAGATTATTTGACATTTGGTGAAATTGGTTGAGGGACACATCTTAGTTAGAACAGCAGGGAGAACACCCCATGGGATCTTTTATGTTCACCCCAAGGGTGCAGATGGGGCCTCAGTTTATTGTCTTACCCAAAAGACAGTACCTCTGACTCTGCTCCAAGCATCTGAAGTGACAGTTGTCTGACTCACTGTAACAGCACTGTCCTCTGCTCACTATAATAGCACTGTCCCCTGACTCACTGTAAACAGCACTGTCCTCTGACTCACTGTAACAGCGCTGTCCTCTGACTCACTGTAACAGCGCTGTCCTCTGACTCACTGTAACAGCACTGTCCTCTGACTCACTGTAAACAGCGCTGTCCATTGTGCCCCAGCTGGGAGTTAAAACACACAACACATGACAGATCATTCCTACCTCAGCTCAATGTCCGATTCCCTCACGGTTTTGGCCAGTTTGCTCTTTTCAATCTTCTCCCCAACAAGGAGCTCGTGTACTTTTGTCCACCTACCAAGAGAGCAGAGAGTCCAGGGTCAGAGCTCAATCATTTCCAGTTAATCTACACCTGAAAATAGACTTGAGGCTTCCCACTTCATTAGCATTCACCACCGACGCACAGTAGAAGCCGTGTGCACCATCCACAAGATGCCCTGCAGAAATTCAACAAGACTCCTTAGACAGCATCTTCCAAACCCACGACCACTTCCATCTAGAAGGACAAGGGCAGCAGATACATGGGAACACCACCCCCCCATATCACCACACCCCCCCCACCAAGCCACTCACTATCCCGACTTGGAAAAATATCGCCATTCCTTCAGTGTCGCTGGATTAGAATCCTGGAATTCCCTCCCTAAGGGCATTGTGGGTGACCTAAATAATAAAGACAGCAGCTGTTCAAGAAAGCAACTCAACACCACCTTCACAAGGGCAACTAGGGATGGGGTAAATTATTATCAAGTCCAAATAACCAGAATTAACTCGAAGAAAAACCTACCTAAATTAGGATAGGCTTTTATTCCTGAAGTTTAGAAGAATAAGCAGTGATCTTACTGAGACATATAATCTTGAGAGATCTTGACAGGGTGAATGTGGACAGAATAATTCCTGTTCTGGGAGAATCCAGAACTAGAGGTCACTGTTTAAAAATCGCAGGCCACCCATTTAAAACCAACAGAGGGGCCAAGGGGCCATGTCCCTGAGCAGCAGAGGAGCCACGTTCTCGGAGCGACGGAGGGCTGTGTACCCAGAGCGACGGTGAGGCCGCACACCAGGGCATCGTGGGGGCCGAGTCTCGGGGCAATGGATTGCCAAGAGAGCTCTTCAGCGAGAAGCGGTTTCGATGGGCTCTGGAGCGGCAGCTGAGTCGGTCTGTCAGCCTGTGAGACCTGGAGAGGGGTTCTCGTTTTCCACATGGAGTAGGCCCCCAACAGCAGCATGGTGTGGACTGGTATAGCCAGGAGCAGGACACTCTCGGCAGCATAGTGCAGGCTGGTGAACCCAGAGTGGGACTCTGACGGTGGTATAGCAGCGAAGAAGGAAAGTTGGACTCTCTTTAAGCTATCTTTCCTTATTTTATTCTGTGAATGGCGCTTATGTATGAGTCACGGTGCACACTTTTCACTGCATTTTATTTTGAATGTACGTGACAATAAAGGATATTCAAACAGGATCAGGCCTAACTTTTCCTCTTGTGCATCTTTGGAATGCTCTGAAGAAGTGCTAGAAGGCCCTTGAATGTTTTCAAGTGAAAGGGAGATAGATTCCTATTAAGAAAGGATCTCAGGGGAGCGGAAGAACGTGGAGTTGAGGTTATAATCAGGTTAGCCATGATCTTGTTAAATGGTGTAGGAGGATGGAGGGGCTGAATGGCCTTCTCCTGAATTGTATGTTTGTACAGTATGAATAACTAAATAAAAAGAAAATCACAAATGTTCTGCAAGTTTATTTAAACTCAAGCTCTACAAAATCCACATCAGCCTAGTAAAGGGGAATAGGGCAGACCAGAAATAAAAGAGGATGGATTACTCAACTCAATGAAAGGATGGACAGAAGGCAGGAGGCAAGGAGATCCCTCAGTGATGGAGAAATTTGGTAACCAGAAACCTCTTGTCTCATCTGTTTCTGTGGAGCTCACTGTCCTCACTATCTATTGGGACCCCAACCCCGCTACCTCCACCCCCAAACCGAGCAGGGAACAGTGGAACCCGATCACCTTTCCAGATCCCCTACTCTGTGTGGCTGGATGTCAGGAATGGAGACAGTAACAATAAAACTGGATCAAAAGTCCGAGCACTGTGACCTACCACTCAATCATCAAGGGAAGCTTCTCTTCAGTGCTGCGTGAGGGGTCGATTTCAATGGGATAGTAAAAGTTGAGAAGGTCCCTCAGCTGTAACGAGAGAGGGAGAACTGTTATTGTAGCAATGTGGTGTCAATCCTGTTTAATTACTACTCCCATCTCTTCAGGGGGCATGGGGTGCACCTTTTGGACTCTACAATTGAAGCCATTCATACACCATGGGAGAGAGAGAGGGACAGGAAACGCGCAGAAGGTTAAAGGCTGATCTAATCACAATATCTGAAATAATAAAGAGAGTTGACAGGGAGAAAAGAACAATTTTTCCGCGAGGCAAAGAGGCAGGATATGAGACAAGGTTAAAGGTGAGCCTTGGAAAAACACTTAATATACCCCTTCCTCCAGCACGGAATTGGTCAGAGCAGACAGAGGCTAGCTGTGGTGGAGTGCTTTTCACACTGGAGATCTGTGACCAGTGGTGTTCCACAAGGATCAGTGTTGGGAGCTGTTGTTTTGTAATTTATATATAAATGATTTGGACAAAAATGTAGGTGATCTAATTAGTAAGTTTGCAGACAATATGAAAATTGGTAGAGTTGTGGATCATGAGGAAGGGTGTCAAAAGATAAAGCAGGATATAGATCAGCTGGAAAGTTAGGCAGAAAAATGGCAGATGGAGTTTAATCCAGACAAGTGTGAGGTGATGCATTTGGGAGGTCAAATGCAAAAGGAAACTATACAGTAAGTGGCAGGACCCTGGGGAGCATTGATATACAGAGGGATCTTGGGGTGCAAGTCCATAGCTCCCTGACAGTGACAACACAAGTGGGTGAGGTGGTAAAGAAGGCGTACAGCATGCTTGCCTTCATCAATCGGTGCACTGAGTACAAGGGTTCACCAGTCATGTTGCAGCTGTATAAAACTTTAGTTAGGCCATATTTGGAGTATTGTGTGCAGTTCTAATCACCACATTATAGGAAGAACGTGGAGACTTTGGAGAAGGTGCAAAAGAGGTTTATAAGGATGTTGCCTGGATTGGAGTGTCCAATATAAGGGGGAGAGGCTAAGGGGTGACCTGAGAGCAGTATGTACATTTTTGAGGGGCATCACAGGGTTGAAGTCTTTTTCCCAGGGTGGAAAGGTCAAGTACTAGGGGGCATAGGTTTATGAGAGGGGTAAAGTTTAAAGGAGATGCATGAGGCAGGTTTTTTACACAGAGATACCTGAAATATACTGCCAGGGGAGGTGGTAGAAGCAATGTTCATGAGGCATTTGAACAGATACATGACAGGCAGGAATAGAGAGATATGCACCATGCGCAGGCAGATGGGATTAGTTTAGAATGGTATCATGACTGGCACAGATATGGTGGGCTGAAGGGTCTGCTCCTGTGCTGTACTGTTCTATGTCTATGTTCATTATGTGGAGGTGCCGGTGTTGGACTGGGGTGGATAAAGTCAGAAGTCACACAACACCAGGTTATAGTCCAACAGGTTTATTTAAAAACACAAACTTTCGGAGTGCTGCCCCTTCATCAGCTGAAATGAAGGAAAGCATACAGGCACAGAGTTTATAGGCAGTGAGGTCAAAAGATCATACAAATGGTGTGAGTGCAGTGTCGAATAATAAGTCTCTGCAAGTGACCAAAAGTGTCAGATGGTGTGAGTAAAGTGTCAACAGCTGAATAGTAAGTGAGGGGGGTGATCTATAATCCAATTAATGGAGGCACAGAGACAATTACAAAAAATTAAAAATAAGGTGGGAATAAACCAAACGGCTGGAATAACATCAAAGTAACAAATGATCCAAAACTGTACAAACTAAGTAAGGTAGAAAGATCATAACAAGTATTTCAGCCATTTGGTTTGTTTCCAGAACCATATTATTTTTAATTTTTTGTAATTATTTTTCTGCCTCAATTATAGATCATCACCTTCAGCTGTTGACACTTTTGATCACTTGCAGAGACTTATTATTCCAAACTCCACTCACACCATTTGTATGATCTTTTGATCTCTCTGCCCATTGATCTCTTTGCCTATATATTATGTGCATGTATGCTTTTCCTCACTTCACCTGATGAAAGGGCAGCACTCCAAAAGCTTGTACTTTCAAATAAACCTGTTAGACTATAACCTGGTGTTATGTGTCTTTTGACTATGTTCATTGTGATTCAGAACACAGAGATAAAGTCAAGTCGCCATCGTCTTACTAGACCATAGGGCTGCTATCTCATTACAGAGAGATGACTGGTAGTGGTTTAACCTGAGGGTCAACATACCTCAGGCGAGGGGAGAGGTTAAGAAGGAGGGCCCTCAGCCAGTGGGGGAACTGAACCTACACTGTTAGCATCACACTGCTTCACAAACCAACCGTCCAGCCAACTGAACTAAACCAACCCTTAAACAGAGATATTTAACAGGCAAGGAGATATTTACCTGGGAAACAGGATATGGAGAGTGTAGAGGGAATTGAGAGAAGTAATGTGAGAGCAAATGGGGAGCATACGATGGACCATCACTCCTGGCCCATGCAATTGTGGAAATGTACAATGTACAAAGATGCAATTTGCATGTTAATGTCACTGCCAGCAATTCCCTTCTGCAGATCATTGCCCCATGTTTTCAAATGTGAACTAAGCTGTATCTTACTTATATCTGTAAAGTGTAGGCACCAGTTACCTTGATCTTGCATTCATCGCTAATTAATGTGCTCTCATTAATAATATCTGTGGAAATCCAAAGTACATAGGTAATATTAGTACAGATCAAACTCTAATTTAAAATTCAGTTCATTTACAATCTTCCTTTTGCAAATTTCCTGAAAATTCTGGAAAATTATACGCTCACTGAAATGATACCAATTTTGGCAACAGAAGTTTGTAAATATTGTCATGGCATTAGAGCCAAACACTCCCAGGACAGGTGCAGCACAGGGTTAGACACACAGTAAAGCTCTCTCTACTCTTTTAAACTGAAAATAAAGCTCTTTTTACCCTATGCCCACCAAACATTCCCAGGGTTAGATACAAAGCAAAATTGCCTCTACTCGTTTAAATATGGAAGAGTTCCCTCTTTCCCCAGTACTAGTGCCAATATCCCATTAATTCGAATCATTTCTCCTACACTAATCTCTGAGCCACACGTTTATCTCTTTAATCTTGTTGACCCTGTGCCAACTTGCTCGTGGCTCAGGTAGTTATCTGGAGTTTACTTCTTTTTTAGTTCTGCTTTTTAATTTCACCCCTAGCTCAGCAGAACCTCTTTCCTCTTTCTCCCAATATCGTTGGTACCTACATAGACCACGACAACTGGATCTTTCCCCTCACACTCCAAGTTCCTATGCAGCCCAGATGAGAGATCCTGAACCTGGTCACCAGGCAGACAACACAGCCTTTGGGATTCTTGATCCTGGCCACAGAGAACAGTCTCTATTCCCCTGGCTATACTATCCCCAATAACTACCTCATTTCTCTTTTCTCCCTGCCTCCCGAATGGCTCCCTGTACCACGGTGCTATGGTCAGTTTGTTCATCCTCCGTACAGCCCCCACTCCCATCCACACAGGGAGCAAGAATCTCAAACCTATTAAACACGCTCCAGCTCCTTCAGCACTACCTCCCGGATCCCTCTACCTGTCTCACTCGTAGTCACACCCTCCTGTCCCTGACCACTGACCAAATTCAAGGAAGTTAACTGAATTAGTGTGACTGCCTCCTGAAACTCAGCATCCAGGTAACTCTCCCCTGTCGCGGTGTTCGAAGCTCAGAGTCCAGCTCATCAACTCTGAGCCAGAGTTCCTCAAGCAACCAACACTTGCTACAGATTCAATCACTACAAATCACAATGGGGTCCACCAGCTCCCATATCATGCAGTTACAACACATTGCCTGGCCCTGCATTTCTAGGTTAATTAGTTCTTAATTTGATTTTGAAAAATTTCATACTGGTCTTTTAATTTGTAACTATTTCCCCTACTTACCTTTAATTGTATAATAGATAGTCAAATTTATAGCTATAGCTAACCAATGAATTTATGGTTTTCCTGCAATGGCATTCTTGTGTGCTGGGCCCTGATCCTGTTTAAAAAAAAACATTACAAACTATGATCCAAAAAAAGCAAGTAAAAAACACCTCTTCCCCTCTGAACCTAATTCACACACTGCTCCAAATTCCCCATACTGCAGACTCACTTGGGCTGTGTCTCACTCTCGATGTGCCCTCTTCTTCTGGATCATGCGGAGCCTACTAAACTTAATGCACAGCACAGGATAGATAGAGAGTAAAGCTCCTTCTTCTTTTTTAAACTGAAAGCAAAACCTCCTCTACTGTTTTAAACTGAATTTAAAGCTCCCTCGACATTATCCTCTTCAAAACACTTCCAGGATAGGGACAGCACAGGATTAAGTACAGAGTAAAACTCCCTCTACACAGTTGCCATTAAACTCCCAGGACAGGGACAGTATGGGTTTAAATACAAGGTAAAGCTCTCTCAGCTTCTTAAAACTGAACTTAAAGTTCCTTCTACACTGTCTACATCAATGCACTCTGGGGACAGGTACAACACAATGTTAAACACAGAGCAAAGATCCCTCTATATTTTTAAACTTAAAGTTTCTTTTACACTATCACCATCAAACACTCCAAGTCAGGTACAACACAGCGTTAGATATAGAGTGAAGCTGCCTCTACATTGTCCCCATCCAAAACTCCCAGAACATGGACAGTTTAGGGATAGATGCAGAGTAAAGCTCCTGCTGCTCGTTTAAACTGAAAGTAAAGCTCCCTCTTAGTGTCCCCATGAAACATTCTCTCCAGTTGGTGTCGCAAAGTGACTTTTTCCAAATGACCCCCACAGTAGGAGAAGATAGTACTTACTGTAACAGGTTGTCCTTTTCTTGCTGTTTTTAGCAAATCGAGTTAAAGTCATATCAAAATCTGTAATAATCTGGAACAGAAACATTGACCTATTAATGGAGTAGATCACATGATTTCTCACTCCAGCATTCCCTTAACACAGAATAGTAGCATCTTTGACCCTGCGTAATGAATCAAACCCTACACTTCCTTAATGGGAGCTGGTAGTGTCATGGTACTGTCACTGGGGTGGTAAACCCACAGGCCCAGCTATAATGTGCTGGGGACATGGGTTCAAATGGCAACTGGTAGAATTTAAGTTCAATAATGAGGCTAAAGGCTAATAAATCCCCTGGACCTGATGGGCTGCATCCTAGGATATTAAAGAAAGCAACTTCAGAGAGTAATCTTCTTAGAATGCTCAAATTCAGGAAAAGTCCCAGAGGAACAGAAAATTGTCTGTACTTTCCTGTCCACTCCCATACTTCAATTCTTGACAGACAGGTAGTCAATTTAACTCAGTTTTAAAAGGTTCAATGAGCCCAACTCCATCACCCCCTGGGAAAGTGAATTCCACAGACTCTGAGACAAAGCAAATTCCTAGTCTCCATCACATACAGGAGACACTCTATTTTTAGTGGCCGCTTTCTGCTTTCAATCATGGTAAAGCTAGCTGGGGATAGCTATGATCTGGCTCCACTACAAACCTACCTGAAGTTTGGAGGCTCCCCCGCCACAGAGGGCAGAGATAATTTTTTCCACACGAGCTGGTTCCTGGATATGGACAGTACTTTTTCCTAATTCTGGTATCTGCAGGAAATGAAACCAGTTAGAATCAGACAGTCTGAATAACAACAGGTGTAACATATCGTCAAATCTACAGGAAGCTTGATAAACCTGCAGTATACCTCTGATCCATTAAATTAAATACAGCGAGCGTTCAGTAGTTTTAGATGGTGTTGAAAGTAAGAAGCAAGTGATTATAATAGGACTGCAGAGATAGTAGGAACTGCAGATGCTGGAAAATCCGAGACAATAAGGTGCACGGCTGGATGAACACAGCAGGCCAAGCAGCATCATAGGAGCAGAAAGGCTCTGCTACCATAATAGGACTGCAGCTTATTTATGAAACAGACTGTGATCCAGCAAACAGAAACTATGGTCATCAAACAAAACCACCACCAAGCATTCACCTCCCCTCACCCTGGTTAAACGCTGATCCCTGACCCATACAAAGACCTAGGGTACAATAATCACTGACCCCATGTCTCAAAACTAACTGCCTGGCCTCCCTCTCTGTTCCAAAACCCCGACATCAACCACTGAGCTTCATTGTACCCCCAGGGTAGGGTATGAGATTGCACACAGACCGCAGCATTCAGATGTCCACTCATAACACCATCCTGCTGCTGAAGCAGCTTTGGGCCTGTCCACCTTGCTGACCCATGCACCCTTGTACAATGAAAAATTTCAGCATGACACCAAATCCCACCAATATACAGGTCAATGATTGTCAAACATTGCCACAAATGAGCATGGCTTCAATCATGTCTCCTTGGTCCCCCACACACACATTCCCTATTTCAATCACCTCCCATTTGCTCCCTGTTCCTTATTTCAATCATGTTCCCTTGCCCCATTCCCTATTCCAATCCACCCACTGGTCACCAATTCCCTGATTTGTGCCTCATTCCAAACATGAGACATGGGCACTGGGGCAGTGGGCACTGGGTAGGACAGGGCAGTGGGCAGGACGGGCAGTGGGCACTGGGTGGGGGGCACTGGGCAGGACAGAGCAGTGGGCACTGGCCAGGACGGGGCACTGGGCAAAATGGGGCACAGGGCAGGACGGGGCACAGGGCAGGACAGGGCAGTGGGCAGGACGGGGCAGTGGGCAGTGGGCAGGACGGGGCAGT